AAAAAAAAAAAAAAAAAAAGACATTTTTAACCCTCTTGATTTCACCCCTCCTCTAACTACCTCCCCATTACTCATCTCATTTCCTCCCTACTAGTTTCCAATTCCTTTCCTCCAGCTGTTTCTTGAGCCCGTTCCAACCTGGCTTCCCCATCAGCTCTTGTCAAGTCTCCATATTGCGAAATCCAAGGGTCAGCTCTTGGTTCTCATCTCATCTTACTTGACATCCTGGCAGCATTTCACCTGGTCAATCATGCCATTCCCCTCGAAATACCTTCTTGGAGTGTCTAGCACTGGCCTTTGCCGTTTCTGCAGCTCTCCAACACCTTAACTTTGGAGCAGCCCAGGGCACTCTGTCTACAGCCATTTGCCTGTGATCCTAGACAGTCCCAATGTTTTAAATACCACCAGTAGGCCCTGGCTCAGTTGGTTGGATGTCATCTCATGCACCAAAAGGTTGCAGGTTCGATTCCAGTCAGGGCACATGCCCGGGTTGTGGGCCGATCCCCTGTAGGGGGCTTGCAGGAGGCAGCTGATCAATGTTTCCCTCTCACATTGATGTTTCTCTCTCTTGCCCCTTCCCCCTTCCTCAGTCTCTAAAAATAAAAGAAAATGAAATACATACATATATACCACCAGTAGGTTAAAAACTCCGTCATTGATTTCTCCAACCTGAAATTTTTATCTAATATCCTACTTGCATTTCCACTTGGATTCTAATAGGCATCTCCAACTTCGCATGACCACAACAAAGCTGCTGGTTTCCATTCTCAGTAATGGTAACTTCATCCTTCTACTTACTCCAAATATCTTAGAGACATCCTTGATGCCTCCCTTTTTCTCCCTCCCCATACATCTTATTGAAAATTTATCGAGAATCTGACCACTGCCTACCAATCCCACTGCTGGTGTCCTGGTCCAAGTCACCATCACCTGTTACTTAGATTCCTACATCCATCTCTCAGCTGTTTCCACTCTTGTCCCCGATTAGCCTAATATAAACAAAAAACCAGTGGAACCTTTTCAATGTAAGCAAAGTCACCCTTTTGCTCAAAGCCCTCTTCTCATCTCACTCAGAGTCAAAATCAAGGTCCTTACTGTGGCCCAGAAGGCCCCAGT